CTAGCCTGGTATCATACCTCTATACCACCGAGCTTGCACATGATGGCCAGAGTACATCAGTTTTTTTGTTTTTTTTTGCGTCGCTATGCGTCATATTTCCGAAGTCTAACCTGTGTTTAAATACCGCATTAAATGTCTTATTGTTATCGTCAATGAGCATTTTAATTATTATTTTCTTATGTTGACGCAACTACAGAATAAATTCAATTAATGAATCATCAGTCAATCAATCAATCCATTATCAAATCAATCCAACACCTAAATACACATAAACCCACCCACCCATACATACATCACATAATCCATGCAGGTTCGAATCCCCCTATAGACAGTATTGTCCATACATCTGCTAAGAAATTGCTTGATACGATTATAACATCTTATGTTTCTATTTGAGCACTGTTATTAATAATTTATCTCTTTGTTTAATTATACATATACATGTATACTCATTGTTGATTCATATACAGTCAGGGGCGGATCCAGAGATGTCCGAAAAAAGGGGGAGGGGGCGGAAAGGGGGCCGATCGCGATAATACGAACCGTAGAAGGTCCGGGGGCAAGCCCCGAGAATTATTTGTCTTCTAGACGCCCGAAAATAACCTCTGAGGCGTTATTGGGCGATCATTTTTTTCCCTTTTTTAGAACTTATCTTTGGGATAGGCCTGGGCCCTAATTCCGTGAAAGGAGACAAAAAATGTTTTTGACACAACACAAATGGTCAATTTAACACATTCGACTTCTATTATGGGGAAATAAGCTTTTTTGTCGTATCACAACATACAATAAACTTTCCATTAGGGAGACGATTTCACATTTTTAGGTTGGTGTCGTAGGGGTACGTAATCGATTATAGAGATATTATTATACAGATTGCAAGGCCTACTCACCAAGATCTGGGATTGGAGGGAGGCTAAAGTCCAATACGGGTGGCGGTACATCAGGACAACTACAAAGTCTGTCTGATAGCGATCCATCATAACAAACGGCCAGGTGAGACATGAGGTGGTACAAAAGTTTAACTGTTTCCTAAGATTATTTGTTACAAAGTTTTATTGCTGTTGAAAGCAATATATCATAAAATTAACCAGCATACCAAGTTAAACGTCAAGAAATACTCATTATGACTGGCTAAAAACATGAATGCAAATTAATTTCCATCTCTTCAACTCTCCCTTCTACTTATCTTTTAAACAACTGTGAAACTGTTATATTAATTCAATTGTTTTTCTTTCGTTTATATAAGTGTGTAAATATTTGTACGCGTTGCTTTGTTTCACACATGGTTATGTCTTACCGTCGCCTATACAAATCAGATATTCAAAAGCAAGTAGGCCTAACTTAATCTTATGATAGAGAGATCAAAATAAATCATAATTGTTTCACTTAATCACCAACATTTTTGCTAAGTGTCCTGTTTAGCAATTCTCACTGTTCGCAATTCTCATTCTCATTTGTTCACATAAATCTTTACCATTTAATATCATCACTTTCGTATTTTAATACCGTTTTAAAAATATACAATATAATCAATCACAACAATTTTATTTATACTTGTATGTACTTGTAATTAGTAATTATTTAAATAATACTGGAGTCGAATAGCCGAGTGGTTAAGGCAGGGGCGCCACAATGTAAGTCATAACACAGGCACTGGTTCGAACACCACGATGCCTATGGTTCTGAAGGAGGAACAAGTCTTCTCGGATAAAGGTTCTTAGGCCCATTGACACAATTTGGCTCATGTACACTTTCATGAAATCAGTACATCTTTCGAGACATGTAGGGGGTTACCCCGGTGTACTGGTTCTTACAGCCCCTGTTGTGGTCGGTACCGGTTTACTAGGGGAGAAGAGAAGCAAGTTAATGTACGAGCTTGTCCACACCTAGAGCGCTTTGAGACTTTGGTTTAAAGCGCTATACAAATCAAACTTCATTACATTACTTTAATCCTCTGTTTATACACACCTATTACATGTTTGCATCCTAGTTCATCTCAGCAAGCCGTCGTGTTACATTAAGCTAGGATTTTACGTACATTATTGTTATCTTATAATACATACTTCAACTATCGAAATGCACGCCATCGTGTCGGGATGGCGTGCATTTTGATACTTGGAGTATGTATTATACTATCTTATCTGAGATTATTCAGTGGACCTTTTGGTTATTGTTATGTCTTCATATAGAGCATCACTGTCGTATTCCTCATCGTAACATTATAAAATTAATTAAAAAATAAAACATAATAATATAAGCCTACCTTTGATTTAATGTTGTACTGTACTACATTATTAGTCTGATTTAAAAACATAATATAATAATAATAATAACAATAATAACAATAATAATAATAATAATAATAATAATAATAATAATAATAATAATAATAATAATATAATAATAATGAGTCACTACATTTTTAATCTGATTTGAAAACTTAAAAGTTTTCAAATCAGATTAAAAATGTATACGTGACTCAGGATCATAAAAGGCTGTAAACTCGCACCGCGCTGTATTGAGAAGCAAGCCTCAATAGCCATAACAGACCGTAGAACGTGAATTTTGTGTGATTGGATTTTGTGAAATATATAAACTATAACTAATACTATCTTACTATTCTCGAAAATTGAGTTTAAACTTTAGCCACTATCGGTTGGGAGTTTGTGAAAAATGAATAGAAACCTGCCGAAAATAAAGGCAATTTTCTCAAAACTTGATTTAAGAAAGTTGACAAGATAATTATTCAAACGGTCATAACTTTGCTTCCAGACACCCGATTGAGTAAATGATATGTTCTATATTATATAATCTGTTTCTCTGTTCATTTTAAAATTTCCTAAGTCAGTCACGTTTGTTTCAGAATTGTATTACATATCCATGAAGTTTAATAGATAAATCTAAACATAATAAGTACAGTAAATAAATGTAACTTCCTATAATTTCAAAGTGTGTCATGCAATCAATAATTAATAGCTTATAATAAATCTAAACTGTCTGGATATGAACAATTAATATCGGTTTCAGTATCCAAATTGTTCATTGTGACTTTTGGAATTAGGATAAATATGTAGCGAAACTTCCGTGTTTTTTTCACTAAAATTACTGTTTTTTTACACGTTTGGGCCGATTTTGTGCATTGCTGTGACAAAAATGTGGCTTTATTTGTCGTCTACAACATAATGTGCGTAGGCCTATAACCTATTTAAATAGAGCTATAGACTTGCAGACAAAATATTTGATTGACCTAAGAGATGATTATAAATACCTTTGGCTAATTTACGGTGTAAGTTTTCTATGAGACTATATAATTTGTGGAGGGACATACACAACAAGCAGTACTTATTTATTAAGTTTAGGGCCGTTTCGACTGAGTTAAGTAATGTAATCTAAATTGACTTACTTTTTTATGCAACTTGGCAAATTTTGGTCCGATCTGGACCATCCTCCGAGTAGTGCGATTGATGTACAGTATAAAGTAGGCCTACGTTAGATTGCTCAATGCAGTTTTACAGGTGATGCTACCTTTATGTTGTTGTGTAAGTTAGCTTTCCTGGTGATATTTTATTTATATTGTATGGTGAATATTCATTGAAATGTTTTTGCTACTCCACCGAAACGGTAGGCCTCGTATTGATTATTCACGATAAACGTTTAAGTACCACTAATGACAATCATATCTACAGTAAGTAGCCATAGGGTGAGACAGGAGCATAATAACATTATTATCGTAGCATAGCTCTTGAACGATTTTTTTTTAGTTGTATAAAAAATGTGTCGGTGCTGGATTCTAAACTGCAGCCTCTCGCTATCAAGGCCTATATCATGCCGTTAGACTATAGGCCTACAGATCTATATGATATAACCGCAAATGTGACCCCCCCCCCCAATTACGTACACGTTTAAGTATACACCACTAACGAGAACCATATCTAAGTACCCACGGTCACATAGGAACATAAGATGTAATTATCGTAGCGTAACCCTTCACGAAATGTTTTTTTTTAGTTGCATGCATTGAAAAAAGGGTCTATAGCGGGATTCAAACCTGCAGCCTCTCGTATCAAGGGGAGGGTCATACCGTTGACTATACAGACCTATACGAAATTGCCGCAAATTTAACCCCAAATTTCATATTAATTAATAACGTATTAGACCCATGCACCACTTTGTAAAATAAATTAAAGGTAATTGTTCTGGTTGAAATTTTAGTTACTTTTTTTGTGGATACTGTTTCTGCTTGTAAATTATCATTTGAATATGTTCAGAAATTAGAGATGAATTAAATTTAGTACACGGTATCAATGTAATGGTACGTAATGGGTAATATGGGTGTAGCTGCTTAGTGAAAGCAAACTCCAATTTTATTGTTGGAGAAACTCGCTGTCGACAAAATTTTCTATCAGAGAAATGCCCTTTTGTCGGTGACTGAGCTGCTCGGCGAACAGTTTGTCGACCTGAGAACGTTAATAGATAATTCCGACAGTCAAAAAACCACCATAACGATTTTAGAATTTCAAAAAATTTACGTGTAAGGGGTGTGGGTGCGTGTGTGTATGAGGGTGTGTGTGTGTGTGTTGAATGCTGCATAAAAACAAAAAAAACCCTATTTTAAGTGGGTTTGTTAACAATAAATTTATTGAATTTGAGAAATGGAAGGGACATAAATTGAAAAATTAAAATAAAGTCAACTCAAAAGTAGTAACCAACGATATATATGTATATGGACGATGCATATGCATATGTATATAAATATATATATATATATATATTCATTTATACATATATATATATATATATAAAGCATATGGTAGAGTAAAAATTAATATTAATTAATATAAAAATATATAGGCCTATATAAATATATATATATTCATTTATACATATATATAAAGCATAGGCCTATGGTAGAGTAAAAATTAATTTTAAATTTATATTTTTTGTTGCTTAGAACTGCAAACACAAATAATGTATAAATCAAGTAGATAATAAAACAGTGCTCAAATAAATAGGAACATGATGTAATAAATCCTATCAAACATAGTTCATCGACGTAAGTGACTTATTAGTTGTATGAATTTTTTGTTGCTTAGAACTGCAAACACAAATAATGTATAAATCAAGTAGATAATAAAACAGTGCTCAAATAAATAGGAACATGATGTAATGAATCCTATCAAACATAGTTCATCGACGTAAGTGACTTATTAGTTGTATGAAAGAAAGAGGTCTCTGGTGGGATTCTCTCGCTACGGTATCTCGACGAACCTTATACTGTTTAGACCACAGAGGCCCGTACGATATTATCGAATTTTAAGACCACAGTCTCTCTTCCTTCATACAACTTGTACAACTTGGGGCTCACACATAGTGGAGCGATTTTTTAAGCTACGTAATTAGTTAAAGTTTATTTACATAATACATAAACTGTTAAATGGTATAAATTATATATTAATTCTCACTACCTACTGGTAACCCTAATATACAAATCTTTAAATGGGAACTTTATTAAAAAAAAATTCACCCGAGGAACATGTTGACTTCTTAATGACAAACTAGGTTAAAAAATAAAGTATAATTTAAGACAGGGTTCTCAACTATATCGCAATAGGGGCTAAAATTATTCATTGAATAAATTTGAAGGGCCAGGTGTGTTTTGGTGCGTAGTGTCATCCGAGCGCCGCAGGTGCGAGCCAGGGTGGGTTTGGGAGAGGGTGTATCCCCCTTCCCAAATTAGGAATTTAAAAAAAAATAAGCCGCTAGATGCTCATAGGCCTACAGATCTCGCGGGCCGCATAACATGCACTCGCGGGCCACCAGTTGAGAACCCCTGATTCAAGTAAAACTCATCAACATCAATCAATAAACAATACAATGTCTAAATGTAATTTAAACATATCATTATGGGCAACCATTTAAATGCATTATTCTGAATAATTTATTACTAATGTTAGGCCTATTATTGACCTGATAGGCCTATTACAGTCACGCTGTCATATTTCGTTGTGGGATATAGCTAGATTATTGGATTGTATCACAATTATATACATTAAAAAATTGGATGAAAAGTAACAATACCATAATTGGTGCTGTAATTCGTTTTTTTTTAAATAAACGATCTATGTTCAAAACATTTGAATGTTTTAAATTAAAATTTCATACCGATATTTTTTAAGTCCATGATAAACATGATAATAAACAAATAGGTGTAAAGGATTATTTGAAACAAACATGTATTTATCATCAAAAAACTTCTAATGTGTTTTAAAAAATTTAAATAGGCCTAAATAATGTTATTTACAAATAGTGAATGCCTATTAGCGGTGTAGAAGAAAACACATCGTATAGAATATTGCACACATTCACGTAAGATTGAAATGGACTTTTCACGGTGAAACACACAACACGAAAGTCCAAAGATAATATTTCTAGTGTGGTCCTTTTGGGTTTGAATTGGGTAGTACATGTCTATACCTCCCCCTGTTTTCCCCCTTTGAGTATTTTATCTTATTTAACCGTGCACATGCACCATATTTGACAAGGGACCAACAGCTTTATTTCCTTGTGGACTGTAAACTTGCATTCTAACCCTCCACCTGATACACAAGGACAACAGCGGATAGAACTGAACCAGTCATCGTTGGTATGAACGGAGACCTACCGGTACTAGTTCAGCAGATTAATGGTGAAAAAACGATAAATACATTGGACAAATGTACACAAATACAATATTTCGCTTAAATTCACTACTGTCTATTGGTACAAGTTGTGAAAACCTGCAGGGATCGTGACGTATTTCTGTATTTTAAAATATTTTGAAGATCAACAATCTCAACTCTTGATTAGCATTCTCACTTATTATTGCAAGGCTCCATTTATATTTGCTGCCCTCTTTAGTCGTGATTCCATCGCCCCAAGTAACTTTTTCACAGCTATGCAATTTTCCTGAACGGAGTAGTACGCGAAACAAATACGTAGAAAACTCTGACAGTTCCCCGCTACAGAGCACCTGCAAAATAGCGACATTTAAGAAATACGTTTCAAATGGTTTAGAAAACAAAACAATCAAATGGTGGACTGTATTATTTTATATTAGACTTTAGCCGGGAGAACTCATTTTTGTTAACCCATTTTCTTAATGATTAATGCTGACGCACTTTAAAACTAACATAATGATAGGCAAATTCGAGTTATAGGCAAATTTAATAAACACTTTGTTTATATTACTACAATAGTGTGTATCTTGTAAGCAATCTTGTCAATGTATAGACCTATACTGCATGTGAACCGTCTAATTATTTAAATGAAACACGACTTCATATAGGCATACATACACTATACGAATAATTAATTACTTGAACGAAATACGCCTTTATAGAAATTACCCAGATTGCAGAGTCAACTTTGCCGAAAGCCAGTTTGCCGAATGGAATTTTACTGACAAAAAAATAAGAAAACAAAGTTTGCCGAATTTCGACCCACTATAGTAAAACAGTTTGTCCTATTAACAGTGGTGGGTAAATTACAAGAGGTGGTTTGGTCAGTGGTATATCTAGGATTTTTACGTGTGGAAGGGATGATGGGCAGAGCGAAAACGTTTAAGGGAGTAAAGTAAGAAATAGCCAGCTGATAAAACAATGTTAAATTAGGTGATTTTAGTGTTATAAACTGCGCTCTTATATACACACACATTTACAACTAACAAAATAATGGTAGAACAAAAGAAAGGGATAAATAAGGGATAAGGGTTGGCCAATGTGGGTAATGGCAGATTATAGTTATATAAAATTGGGATGGTGCTGGCATACAGGGATGGCAGCAGGATTTGCACGACGCGGTAGGGGATCCGAGGTCCACGACGTAGGGGGTGGGGGATTGTCCCCGACGACAGCAAAGTGGGTATGGTGTGGCGGCGCTCAAAATCTTACCTTTTCCCCTCGAGTATTGAGACATTGTGTATTTTTTGGCAGAACTCGCTCAGTTCATGAACGTCAACATAACTTGGTAACTCTATCCATATAAAGTATCCACCCTAGAATAAAATCAGGAAAATTAATGTAGTAATATGAACCGCAATGTCTTCGTTATTAAAAATGGGCTAGCTAAATTCTGCTGAGCTTGGTAGAAATATGAACATACTGAGCTATCAATCCAGTGATTGGTTGACTATGATGAGTCATAATCTATAGGCCTATTATAGGTACGCACACTCACCGTTAAAATGCAGTTTACATGACTATGACGTGAACAACATGAACATTCGAGTATGAGTGATCACGTGTGAGAGAGTAAAGCCGGGCACTCACAGCGCACAACGGTGTCGGCCGACGCGATTCTACGGGGAACGCCACACCACGACACGCACGCAATGGATCGTTTTCAATAACGTTCCGTAGGCCTACAGACTGCCACCAACAATCAGTAGACGCCATCGCGCCGCTTAGACTTACAGGGAGCGGAGTGAGATTCGTCGACGTTTGTACGACGGTCGATGCAGTGAGTGCCCATCTTAACTCTGCCTACCTTTGGTACACTGTACTTCACACTCTTCGGACAGTGTTTTTGAAGAACATCTAAGACCGCATTAAGTTTCCTCTAATAAGATATAAAACAACATAATTAAGCCTAAATAAGACATAATATTAACAATTAAGTATTACAGGGCAACGGCTCCATGATAAGCTGTCGTCCACTGCTTTTTATCCTGCCCATATAATAAAATGATATAAACAACAAGAACATTTTCAACAACTAACCAAATTACAAGACAATAATACATTATTTACAGCGAAGCCATACTTAATTTTCACTTTTGTTTTTTAAATTCAAATATCACATTGAGATTCAAAATTTAAATTAAACAACACTAACAATAATAACATCAAATGAACACATAATTATCAACCAAACAGTGTATTATACAGAATGATATCATTAACAATTAGGCAACCAAATAATATTTACAATATTTGTATTTTTTACAATATACTCAACTCCTTTTCAACTATCAATCTTCTTTGAAGTTGTAAACTGATGAAACAATCTACCGCAAAAAGTGATCGATATCAAGTTCAACCCAATCTCCAAGAATGAACTCCTTGCACCGGACCTAACTATCTAAATATGATTTACATTAAAACCATAAACCTTTTTACTACTGAATATTTTTAATATTTTATATGTGATTAAGACGTATCATTATTATTATTAACTTATCCTGTGATCTTTGTCGATGTATTTTAACAAAATTCAATGTATTCTATATTGTAGATGAAGCTTTTATCTTTTTTTAAATTAACGCCCGTAGTCTTTACAAACTTTAGTCGAATTTCGAACTAGAACTTCATTTAGTGCTAGTTGGAACTTCAACTTCAATTTGTGTTCACATACAACGTAGTCGAAGTTTTAACTACGACTAAATCAAGTCCTAGTTTTAGTTCAACTGAAGACGACTGGCAAGCCACGACTATCAAACTAACTAGTGCAGTGGAAGTTCGTTCTAAAAATACGAAATGACGTAATTTTAAAGTTTTAGCTCGAACTACGACTAAAGTTTGTTTTAAGAATACTGGGGTAAGTATCTTCTCAATTGTATTAATTTAAACAGGACCATTTTAAAAACAGACTGTTACATCTTGTCTGAAATTGCATCTTGTATAAATATGTTTAAAATAAAACCAAATAAATAAAATAAATATAAATTTAAAAAAATAACTAACACTACCCTTGTTGAACTTCCGGTTATAATCCCTGGTGTATGTTTTGGAAGCGCAACTACAAGGTACAAGGTATTAACTTCTTAGGTTCCTACGTTTTGAGGACTTACATCTTCTTTGTTGATATACACCACAGATTGCTATCGGAGTTGCAATATATTAAATGTATGCTTCCCTCTTAAAGTTAGATTATTCTTGTCAATCACCTACAAGAATGACTTCTGGGTAGTTTTTGGAAAATGTTATTAATTAATAACTCTGAAGAGTTGATTTGAAAACATGAGTTTTATAGTTTTAGTATATAACATATATATTATTTTTTTAAAGTGTAACTAATCCTTTGTGTTTTATATTATTTCATACGGTAATAATTTTGTACTGTAGTTTAAGCATCAAGGAAACCACGTGTCATGTACATCTTGTTTTGTGGTTATGACAATAAAGTTTATCCTATCTTATAATTTCTTTATATTTTTTTATATTGGGACATGTTGTATCTCAAAAACCCTTAGCAGAAACAATAATAAAAATCGTTGTACAAAATATATATACAATTTTATTATTTAGTCTTTATAAACTGTGAATTGTTAATTGAGACTGAAGAGGTTTAAAAGTGCTTCGGGTGAAATTGTAAAGTGAATCCACAGTCGACAGCAATGATCACTTACCTTTAAAGTGGTTCTGACCATCAATAAAAACGCGCTGAACAGATCAGTATTTAATGAACTTCCAACGATTCCAGATGTAAAATGGTTCATAGAGCCTCCACCAAGCAAAACGCCACTTGGGACAAAACAGAAACAATTGAAAGTAAACGGTGATGTATAAAGTTTTTTTTAGCCTTAGGGATTTACTGCCCCCTAAAATTAAAATAAATTCAATTTTTAACTGAAGCTGATTTGGAATACTGCAACATAAAAATTATAAACTTATTAGAAAATAGTATATTTCATAAATGTTTCCCTTAATTCTTATCAATATCCGTGGTAAAACAAGCGACTATTTTTTCCTTAAATAGGCCTATACGGTACTAATTTTTAAGATCAGTTTGATAATATTTAAAATGAGAAAGTTATTTAAAGATTGATTTTTATAATTTGTTAGGAGACAATACTTCATACAAAAGAAACCACGCATGTGTACCTATAAAGAGGTTACTAATCCTATTGTAACTTACTCTACCATAAGCTTGCTGAGTACAACTTTCGGCGCTTCAATCCAACCGAGTCGAAGTCCGGGACCTAGTATTTTAGAGAAACTGCCGTTTGATACAATATTGCCGAAGTAATCATTGTCGGATTTCACGTCGTACTGGTATAGCCTCGGTGGCGCTCTCTTGAATGCATCGCCGTCCTTTTCAAGGCACAGCAAATTATATACATCGTCGCTAACCACCAAAAGATTGTATTCTCGGGCGAGATTGACTAGCTTCTCGCATTTCTCTGAAAGCAAGACATCAATTATTATGAACTTCGTAGAAATACATGAATATCATATCAATATATTGACACTAACGTCATTTAACACACTCAGTGACAATGAGTGTCCAGGCTCGGTCTAGGAACCGGACCACTGGATGAAAAGAGATAAAAAAAAAATTCATTTTAGGAAAACATTTTGGTTTAAATTAGACATCTAAATACCAGGGACATTGTTTCTGGAAGTTTCGGCCCCACTTAGCCCAATGGGGCGCATAGCGGCAACTAGATCTCCGTTGATACCCAGGCCACCAGTTGAAAAATATAGATAAAAAGAGTGATTTCATTATTTTGGTCGAATATTCTATAACCGTTTAATCTAAATACATAAAAAGCAGCTTATGGGCTTTACTAGGGTGAGCAGAGTGAATTTACAAATTTTTACTACTGTAAGAAAAATCACTTATTGTTAACTTTTACTTGGGAAAGAGTGAAATTAGAATGATCTCTTATGACATTCTCTTTAATCGAATTTTTTTTTGAATTTTTGCATTCAGAGCCACTGTGGCGCATCTAAGAGTCTTGAAATGGGGCTAATGGGAGGCGTGAAGGTGAAGTGGGGCTCGATGTTTAAGTGAGGGGCTCTATAACTCGTCAAATAAGGTAATATGTGCCAATTTTTTATTTAATACAGTACTTGAGCATAATTTTTTTTGCGACCTGCCTACCTTTTGAATAGCATAGTCCTGTAGGGTTTTGATAGACGGAGACGACGTACACCAACGCCCAGAATGGACGTTCGGTAGTTGGTTGAAAATCGACAGGCTTCCGCCGTTCAAGTTCTTCTTCCAGCATCTCCAAGTCCAAACCATCCTCAACGATTGGAACTATAATGGATATATAGTTAGAAACAATGTATATACTGTCTCTTATACACATCTAGATGTGTATAAGAGACAGGAGTACAACTTTCGGCGCTTCAATCCAACCGAGTCGAAGTCCGGGACCTAGTATTTTAGAGAAACTGCCGTTTGATACAATATTGCCGAAGTAATCATTGTCGGATTTCACGTCGTACTGGTATAGCCTCGGTGGCGCTCTCTTGAATGCATCGCCGTCCTTTTCAAGGCACAGCAAATTATATACATCGTCGCTAACCACCAAAAGATTGTATTCTCGGGCGAGATTGACTAGCTTCTCGCATTTCTCTGAAAGCAAGACATCAATTATTATGAACTTCGTAGAAATACATGAATATCATATCAATATATTGACACTAACGTCATTTAACACACTCAGTGACAATGAGTGTCCAGGCTCGGTCTAGGAACCGGACCACTGGATGAAAAGAGATAAAAAAAAAATATTAATTTTAGGAAAACATTTTGGTTTAAATTAGACATCTAAATACCGGGGGCATTGTTTCTGGAAGTTTCGGCCCCACTTAGCCCAATGGGGCGCATAGCGGCAACTAGATCTCCGTTGATACCCAGGCCACCAGTTGAAAAATATAGTCATTCGTGTGGATTGAAATGTGAGGACACATACATTCTGTGTATGTGCATACATATGAAAAAATGAGGACATTTTATTAGAGACATATGAAAAAGTCAGGACATCATTATAGAGGGCGCTGTTCACTTTTAAACATTTTAAAAAATGTATAGAAAATGTATGGGTAGAGGTAAACCTATCTAAAAGAGGTCAATTTAAAGTGAAGGCCTACGCGGGTAGAAGATAACCAAAATGGGGTTTTGTAGGCCTAGAAAATGTGAGGACACGAAATTTGTACTCACATTTTTTTTTTGTCCTCAGATGTATAGGAAAATATAGAAATTTGTCCTCACATGTATAGGAATGCGCGTACATATATACACATACATACATACATACACACACATACATACATACATATATACATACATATATACATAAGATCATATATATAGTGCTTAGCAGTGGGAAAACAAATATATAAATGAAATAGATAATAATACAGCTCTCATGATATGATATTATAGAGATAAACTCTAATAATCGGGAAAAATGTGCCGGCTTAAGAGACACCAACAGACAAGAAAGCAGAAATAATTAGGCCTGCGTCGCAACATCCCGCCAATCGTTACTTACTAGGTACAGCTTTGAGTCCAAGGTCTACAGCAACAAGTTTGTTAACGTGAAAGTAGGTGGGATCCTCTATAAAAATGTAGTCCTCAACATTAAAAAATGTGCTAGCAAGTAAAGACAGACCGGCTGTAGCTCCTGTGGTAGTCATAAGTGATTTCCTGAAATAGAAAGGAGTTGCTCAGCGACTGAGATTGGTCTATGAGCTAGTGGATTTCCTCATGAGCATTACGTTTTCTTTTCTCCAGTATCACATAACACGCATTTATAAATTGTAAAATATCAAAAGAATTTTAACTTTCTAAAAATTATTGGATATTACTTTAATCTTAATCAAATTCATTGATAATAAATGTGAGGATGTAAAATGGAATTGATACAAACTTTACATTTTAATACCGTAATACAGTAATGGCTTTTTAGGAATACTCGGCTGATTGATTATTAGATCTTTTTTTAATTTGTTTTTAGAGAATAAAAACCTACAGGCTCATCCGGAAATTGAACCAGGTACCTCTCACACCCAACAAAGCTACATTTATGACTCTCTAGACCAACGAGCAATAGTTACGGAGTAATTATGAAGGACCTGTAGGAACACTCGGCTAATTGATAAATCTTTTTTGCTGATTGATTAATAGATCAATGTTTGCATTTTCTTAGAGAAAAAAAAATAACAGGCTCGTCCAGGAATTGAACCAGAGACCTCTCACACCCTAAGCTACATTCTTGCCTCCTGATCAACGAACCATACGGTAGTTACTGTGTAATTTTGAAGGAGCCCCAGGAATACTGGGCTGATTGATATAAATTCTTGCTGTTTGTTTGCTAGATCATTTTTTGTATGGGCGACCGTTAGGGCCAATATACTCTACTGCCTCTATTATAATGCCCTCATTGGAGCTTTTGAGATTAGGAGACCTTGTTATGTATGTATAAACGAGATATTAAATTTGTATAGGACTACTCACGAATCAACAATGTCATCAAACTGTTCCGAGAGGAATTTCGCCAGATTTATTCTGTAAGCGGGATCTCCGAGCGTACTTCCGTATTGCAATAAATCCCCTTCGCCGGATATCTCTTTTTCCTTTGGGAAGAACGTAAGCATTTATAAATATTTACAAGACAATGCCTTGTATGACGGTAACGTATAAGATACGATTCTGTACTTAAAAAGCAAAAACAAATTAATAATAAAATATATTTTAGGAATAAAAAATATAATCATAGAACGACTTATAATTCAAAGACACAATGCATGTAACACGTGGACATTGTACAGTGCTGTAATTATAACAGCTATTATTATAGATCTAACATGAAGAAAAACAGAACAAACAACCATTTGGCATAAGAACGATTGTATAGGTATTTTGACTGATAACATATTATGAAACAAACTCCGAAAGAAGTGATACAAGCCATTTTTTATTCAATATAACTTTATTAGTTAATCTTCGGGAATGAAGATGAACTAATAAATATTGAAATCAAAAATGGCTTGTATCACTTTTTTTCGCACGCCCCCCCCCCCCCAAAAAAGCTCGCTAACCCCATCGAAAATGTCAGAAGCAAACAACAAATCAACCTCAACTAGTTAAAAATCACCCTGTATCACCTTCTATTTTACGACCTGCTTCATCATCGAGGCCTCGACACCGAGATTTGATCCCCTACTTAAAACCATCAAAACCAGTCTCCCCCCCCCGTCTCCTCCCCCCCCCCCCCCAAATTTCAAGACTCCTAGATACTCTACTGCCAACACGACATGGGATGCTTGCAAAAAATGCTCTCCCAAAGTGTCGATGTCAATAAAAACTAAAAGAAATCAAATCATACCAATCTCATCTCTGTAGCTTTCATCATAAACTTAGCTGCTGACCGGAGCATGCCGACTCCCGGCCCGCCGACATCCAGCCCATATTTACCGTCAGCCAGCATGTGTTCCTCTGTGAACAAGTTATTGTGCATGCCATAATCCTTATCTTGAAATTTAATTCCGTTAGACATTGCAGGGCGAGATGATTCTAATGGGTAAGTTGGTCAGTTATGCTGAAGAAAGAAAACAAAAAGATATTTGTTTTATTCAGGTGTATTATACTTATTTGAGTAAGTATAAAATGTTACGATTTACCGCCCAGGCGTCTGCACAAATCTGGTAGAAATGTAACACCGTTTTTTAGGCGTTTACCATTAAGGATGTACTATCAGTCAAAAAAGAGGAAAATACATCAAAAATTCAAATAAAATTTTGAATAGCTCATTTAAAAGGATCAAATAAATTATTAGCTTACACCAAGAACCGATTTACAGAATATACCATCCTTCCTCATACGAAAGCTAACACATTGTTATTGTATAGTCTTGGCTATTGAAAAGGCTAATTGAGCAACTAAAAGACACTGCCTACAGTTTATCAATAAGGCCAAAAAAATATATTTGTTTAGCGTCACCGCCCGACCCTGATTTTCTAGCCGCCTCTCATTTTTTTGTGTTAAAAAAGTGATGAAAATCGACTAAAAAATTCCGATAATTGAGGAAAAACGATCGTTTTTTTCATCTTCAGCACAGAGAACAAGATGTGAAGTGCGCCATTAACATTACAAGTGTTTTTTTTCTGCAGGAAAAAAAATCGGTAGTTGCTAACAGCCGAGGGGCGTGCCTTGTATGGTGACACGTCATGTATTATTATACCGTCTACCTAAAGACATCGCACATACTGTACACCGTGTGCAGAATGCAGCCCTAGGCTACTAAAAAATAGGCCTAATTGTTATTTAATACAATACAAATTACAATAGAGACATTGGAAAGTTAATATATTTGATATAATTAAATATTTATCGCGGATCGGTACACCAAGAACCGATTTACAGAATGTACCATCCTTCCTCATACGAAAGCTAACACATTGTTATTGTATAGTCTTGGCTATTGAAAAGGCAGTGTCATAGTCGGTGCACCTTTTGGTGAATGGTATATGTGTTACCCCATCGTGAGGTGCAGCAATATGTACGTGGCAGGGATACCCGGTAAAAGTGACGACTATTAATTATTAAACACATAACAGTGAATTTACCACATTTTATTGTGCATCGAATCCTAAGTTCATAATTAGGCCTTCTCAGCATTGCATCAACAGCAATTAAACAAAAGCCCACAATTAACAATAGATGAGTCGGCCTACTGTAGTTTCAGTTAAAGACCAATAGGCCCTACCGTATCATGAAACGCATGATTGAACACCCAGCCAGTCGTATTTTCTCATTTAACACATCAATACGGTAGTTCGTCGACTGAGTCCAAACCTGAGTGGCAGCGTCAGAGATTTCAAGAGAAGGGGGTTGGGGGTGGGTCAATGGTCCCCAGCACCCCCAGATTCGTTGGATTTAGAGGGGGTGGAAAACTTTTAAGAATAGCATCTTCCCCGACGGGTGTGCCCCACTTCTGGAGCCCCACTGGCATTGTCCTTATACCGTCTACCTAAAGACATCGCACATACTGTATACCGTGTGCAGAATGCAGCCCTAGGCTACTAAAGAATAGGCCTAATTGTTATTTAATACAATACAAATTACAATACAGACATTGGAAAGTTAATATATTTAATTTAATTACATATTTAGCCTAACATTCTGTTCCCCTCCTCTTTTTGTGTAATATAGCCGGCAATTTTGTGAAACATTAAAAAGTAATAAATCTTAACTTCAGCAGTTATGTTGTAATAGAAGTTGTAATTTTAATTTATTAGGCCCATTTTCTTTCAAGTAATATACTGTTCAAGGGATTAGGTTGGAAAATCTACAGACTAAGTACAATATTGTAGTACTAGTAGAGGCCATTGAATTGTTTTCATTTCTTTCTGTGATTTAATCACAGCGGTAGGGGATTAGGCCGTAATAATCCCCACCGCTAAATAACTAGTATTATTTCACTCTGTGTAGACCCCATAAATCCAAATCCTTATTAGGAATCCTAATTTTGGAAAGAAAAATTACACAGGGACAACTTATTTTTTCTTACATTGATTGTACCACCATGATCCATATGGAATTGCTGTGTTACTCTCTATGTCGAGGACGAACTGTAACTGAAAGACGAACTATAGCTGAAATTATGCATGACGTCAACATACGAAGCCACGCCCCTCGGCTTAACCCGTTGTATTTAGCAACTACCAAAAAAAAAATCGATTCCCTCACGTACCTGTGCTTGTTGACAGAAATCGCGGATCGGTAGTATAGTAAGCGTACAGTAAGCGTACATGTTTTTATTTGGTTCTTTTTAGATAATAAACAATGTTTTAAATATGATAATAATAAAGTACTATGAAGACAAATAATAGGTTACGGCCTACGCTTCAATTGTCAGATATTTTAGGCCTATGGACTAGGCCTAGCATAAGTACTACTTCTAACTAAGCTAGGCCTAGCCTAGCACTACAGCAGTTAGCCTACGGAACCAGAATGCCTATTAAAATAAATATTGTACAAATAAATCTATTATTGGAGTTTGTCAAAGATTTGGCTTGGCACCAATGCAGTTTTTGAAATCTCTAGGCCTAAGAAGCCTAAGTAAGTAAGGGCGTAGGCCAGCCAAAAAAAATCCGCCCCTCCCTCGCCCCTGAACATTTCTGAGGGTGACACTAAACGAGTATTTTTTTGGCCTAATAATTCGAATAGTTATATTCGTTTCCATGGAAAAAAATAATACTAATAATAATTATTATCATATAACATACCTATTAAATGAAGAGTACAGCTTGAAGACTTATCCTTCCGACTTGCCAACTAATGATGGAATAAAAGTTTTTTAGTACGTTTTGAGCATGCGCGTTTGCGAAATACGACACACATCAGTGATTTATTCTACTGAAAATTTTCCATCACTGCTAAAAAACTGCAAATGAACAAAACAGCATTGAGCCACATCGACAGACACGAAAATATTTATGTTTCCCAGGTGCGGATCCAGACTATGTCTAAAACAGGGCCCTGGGGTATGCTTCCTGAGAGATTTTTGTTTTCTAGATCTCTGAGGCATTATGGGCGATAAATGATTTATTTATCTTTCTTTCTTTTTTCCCTTTTGTTACTTTCCGAAAGTTTATGTTTGCGTTTGTCTTGGGTCCCAAACTCCTAGTGAATAGATTTGTTTGTTTTATATACATCACTTCTCAAATATAACCCACTTATTTAAACTATATCTTGTTAAAAGTTAAATTAAGCAAATGAAGCTCTATATCTTTTGGATTAGATTAGAATTAAAATGAAATATAAATGATATTAATATGAGGGCTACTATGGTCATCATTACTTCATTTGCGTTATATCAGTAGTAGCCGATTAGTTATGGTATTTATTAACCATTGATAAATAAAACACCGTGAATGGGATTTAATGAATGTATTCGATTCGGTTATAACCTTCAACTCCTTATACCTTTTTATCAATTTTGGATAGGCATTTTCTTAACGGAAATATACACTTACACAACAAATGATGGAAAATTCCACTTTGACACTAAACAGCTGATCCGTCATTCATGGGTCACTAGAAAAATAAATTGGTAATCATTTAATTACGAATACCTGCGGCTATTTAACAATGTGAAAGTAAGCGGTGATCATATAAAAAACCTTGCACGAAATGAACGGTCGGGTTAATTTAAATACTGTAATAAAAGAGAAACTAACAATTCAACTTTGTAGAATGGATTAAGAAACTGCTAGAATGAAGCAACAACTGATGAGCAGGTTTTAAGGCTGATCTCATTGTCTGTTTTACGTGGTGACGTCGATGAATGATTGAAATAGCTCAGATTATAGACTGCTAGGATAGATCAAAATTTAGTCACGCTGTATTGAATTATGATCTGAAATATTTATGGACATTATCACTTGGATATAATTTATTATTCTTCAGATTCTAAATTCCTCTTCGATGTCTTGATTCATGCACTGTGTACACTTGGAAAGTTGCTCAAAATAATTTTCAATAAGTTATCGGAATTTCTCATTATTGTTTTTCACTAACATTAGTACATGGCATTAGCATAAAAATGGCAAGAGATGGTTAATGTGTTTTCCAGAATACATATACAGTACGTTATACTGAAAAATGCCCCTTATTGTCACCGTAAATGTTGAAGTAATTAGCCACCGCCAAAAAGTGTTGTATCAACATAAAGATAATTGATCCCAACCAGGTAATGTAATTCTACTGGAGTAGCATTATTAAAATGTGTTGAACATGATGTTGAATCCATTGTTGTTCAGTCATTTAGGGGAGGGGCCGGCATTTATTTGAGGGAAAATAATTATGTGGCGCTTATTTGAGAGAGCCGTTTCTCTAATGGCCGTGGCAGGAGAGGCGTGGGTGTAGACTTTCGTGGTATTTGCCACTTTCTCCTATTTGATGTACGCCTATTTATAATTGGACGTCAGCAATACTGTCAAATTAAGACTATTTTTAGGTTCAGATCTAGTGCGCCTGGAGGGGCATGAACTTTCTTTTTTATTTTTTATTTTTTTGGTGGGGGAGGGGGTGGAGGGGCGTCTTCTTTCCCGCGCACCCAATAGAAACGCCTCTGCAATAAGAATGATTAAACTCATGGGTACTCACTTTACATATGCCTACACATTTTTTAAGAACACTGAAATTGCTTAAAAATTAAGAACAAAATAAGAACCAAATTGAGGCTAAGGTAAAATGTCAAATGAGGTTTTTTATTTAAAAAAACAAGAAAAACAAAAAAAATTATATCTGTACAGTACGTGCAGTAGGTCAGACTATGTATGCAACTAGCCTACCACCTGTCATTTGGGGCCATTTTTACCAGGGACATTTTTCTGGGGCCATTTTTTCGGGGCCTTTTTTGAGGGCCCATTTTTTCCGGGGCCACATACATTCTAGTACAGTGTTATTGCTGTACAGCAATAATTTTCTAGGTTTAAAAAGCGTGTAAAATAAGAACATAATAAGAACATTTTGAGCCTGAAATCGGCCCAAAAACATTGAGTCCGGGCAAAATTGTACTGGTTCTTTATATATATACGGTATATATAAAAAAACTTGTATTTTATGCACCGGACATAATAAAGAAATTTGGAGGAAGTAGTTGTATTAGCTGGTGGCGGCTTGTACTGTACTAATAAACTGTATTAATAATCCAAGCATTCAATAACTGATAAGGTCAAAAGTCCAACCGATCAAAAATTTCTTTTGGTCCGACATTTTTTTTTTTCATTTTTAAGGAAGAGCCTAAAATACTTGTATGGGATACTTTTCAAGCTTTTGTCTTTAATTTTACCTACCAAAATGCGGGCGTTAGGGATGGTAGGCAATGAACACTAGTGATATGATCATATAAATTTTAAAAAAAAAAAAAAAAAAAAAAAAAAAAAAAAAAAAAAAAAATTAAAAATAAAAATAAAAAACAAAAAAAAAAAAAAAAAAAAAATAATAATAATAATAATAATAAAATTACTTGAAAAAAAAAACCAAACAAACAAAAACAAAAACAAAGAAAATTATGAAGTAAAAAAAAGCAGAAAGGATTTTTTAATTGAATAGACCTTTCATAGCCAGACGAATTTTAGGGGAAAAAAGGATGTATGGTATGCTTCTCAAACAGCAACCAGACGCTCCTGGCTCTAAGGCATGCAGGTATACTTGGAAGTCAGGGCGTTTTATTTAAAAAGAAAAGCTCGTTCCTCATATGAAAGGTAATTTGGTTTTACAAAGGCCTATAATGATTTGCTAATATACCTAATAGGGCGCAATAGTCAGGCCGAAAATCGGACTGGTCTGACCGCTTCAATGCCTTGAAATCATAAGAACTACTATGATGAAAAGTGGATATTATTAATATACAAAAATAAACATAAATTTGAAATTAAATTTAAGGAAATGGATGCACTGACTACAATTCGGTAGGCAATTACAAAAGAGGTCGAGTGCGGAGTTGAATAGCGTGTTCCATATGAGATAAAGCTCAGAAATCTGCTATGGCGGTTTTTATATTGCTGAGTGGCCTAGGTATGGGAAGCGCAGCCAGTGCAAAGCACAGAGGCCCTGGGCTATTGGGGGCCCATTCAATAGGCCTATAGATCTAAAAAAATAAAATATAATTAAATTAAAAAAATTAAAGTTAAATTTTAAAGGATACCTTCAATCATATTAGGTTTTGGAGGCCACAATAATCAATATGTTCATTAACATTTGCCTTTTAGGTAACACCAAACACTGCAGGTAGGGTAACTATTTAACCTTTTTTTTAACAAAAACACAGGTCACGAACTGCTTCGTATCTTTTAAATTTGTTTAAGGCTATTTTCTTTCATTCAGGTATATACGTTCATACCCCGGACCACGGTTCGATGCACTAAAATACATTCTGGAAAGCATATATATTTAGACTATTTCTAAAGCAATTGAAATATCGGCGCGCAAGTTCTTTGTTTGATTTTAAAGTTTGTTTAAATAGCCTATAATATATTATTGTTATTAATGTAAAGACATGAACAATATTATTTAAAGGAAAAAGCACGTAATGAAGAATCTGCTTCGGTGGTTTTTTACTAATCTTTTTGAACCTTTCTGCTTTTCCGTTCCGATTTTTCTTTTTAATTTGGCTTGAAATTTCTTTTGATGCTGCCTTCGGCCTCCTTGGTTTTTCGTCTTAAGGACACCAATGGAAATAAGAACTTTTTAGGACTTTTTTAGGCTATCCTTGCATCTCCTTGAATTAATTCCATCAATTCCTCCATCAATCTTACTTGTACTATAGTATTGGCCTTTTGCTTGTTTTCTTGGTAACTTTTTTTAATGAATTTTATGCTTTTTACATTGTGTATTGTTTTAATGATTGTACTTTATGAGATAATTTAATAATAATAATAATAATAATAATAATAATAATAATAATAATAATAATAATAATAATAATAATAATAATAATAATAATAATAATAATAATAATAATAATAGTGTAGTTTTATATAGCGCACATATCCATCTAATGTAAGATGCTCAGGGCGCATGATATGTGGACTAGGAACTCGACCAATGATGCGAATAAATCAAATCAAATCTAATCAAAATATCCCGACTAAATGTATTTCGGACTTGATGTGATCAGAGAAGCTCTGTATCCATCCCTCATGGCTTCACATTAAAGGGTTCGGCAAGTCTAATTTTAACTCTATTCCGCAAACCTTGTAACATACCTTACGCAAACCTTACACATTTAAGAAAAGAAAAATGAAGTTTTTATAGAATTAAAGGGCCCTGGCAATTATCTTGCCAGTCACCATTTTAGTATTCTCCTATCTCTGATTTTGAAGTATATCGTAAGTTGGTTGTTCTACAGTTTTTGTTCATAACGTTTGAAGTTAACTTACTTTTTAATTCGTCTGTTTACAAAATCTTCGGTCCTCCTGGGTCCTCCAGTCTGTCAGGCGTAGTGCGTACTATGCATACTATGCAGGCCAATCTCAAGCCAGTATTTATTCCCAGGTGCCTCTTCTTGCATAATAGGCCTAATACGTAGTTTAGCTTCCCTGGTATTTTTATTGTGTGGTGTGAATATTCATTGGAAGCTCAGATATTCATTGGAAGCGATGATCCGTTTTTTTTTTAAATCAATTTTCAATAGGCCTATTTGTTTTGGTAAATTATTACAGTGCCCACTAAAAATGATTGAGCCCACTCAGCCCACCTTATTTTAACACCAGTGAATAAAGGAAAGAATGGCTTAAGAGTGAATAAAGAATAGATACCCTACAGGGAGCCAGGAAAACTTTGAAAAAATTGGAGAATATAGAAATACAGAAAAGAAATTAAATTATACAGTATAACGAAAGCATGGTTTTTTATACTTAATGCAATACCTCCTTGATGCAACTAAGAGAGCATACATAGGCCTACCAGGCAAAAATAATAAATACGAAGTGTCTATGCTTACGACTCGGAGATTAGTCATAGGCTATGCTTACGCCGATCTATTGAGCATGCGCAGGGGTGACGTAAGCATGATTTCGAGGCTATATGCTTACGCCGATCTAATACTGAGCATGCACAGGGCCGGCGTATAAGCATTATATAGTGCCTATGCTTACGCCGGATTGCTAGCCAACGTAAATAGTCAACTCGTTTATCTGCTTACTATTTCACGTTGTCGAGGCATGAGCTTTGTCTAGTCCACAGTTTTCCAAAAGAACAGGCATCGTCATGAACTGAGGCAGACATATTAGTACATTCCCACACGAGGACCCAATTCTAGCTTACCTTACCTAGTTTCTGTAGCACTTGCCTATTTAGCCTGCCTTAATTCACTTTAATCAGGTACTCCATATCATCCTTGTGTAAAAATATTTGACCTGTGCCAAGCTCTTGTACTTTCCTTGAGTGCCATCTGTTCATTGTGATACAGTACTTCATTGTTAGATAGGCCTATCAAGCCCAATTTATGTTGATATTGATACAATACTATATCTGAAATAATGACAATGTATCTATGTATGATGTGTAGAATGTTGGAGATGACCTGCCTGCTGCAGTTATATTCTGATTTTAAATCATTGTCCTGTACATTACAGTACATAATTAAAAAGCGAAATCAAAAACAAAAATTTGCCCTAGGGTGCTCTTATCTCGATCCCTCACCCCGACCTTTCCAACATCTCTTGACCCGTGTCCCTATAAAATTCTTAATTTTCCTATTATGAACAAGTACGCATACAATAATTACAAGAGAGCGTGACACAGTTTCAATCCAATTGTGTTATTAATATACAAAAACACTGTAGTATATTTCGGTTTAAGCACCAAGGTTTTTAACAACTGAAATGTTTGAAAGGAAACTCTCTTAAAAAATAACTTTCTTTTTCTCTACTAACTGATTCGATGTGCAAGAACTGTACCACGAAATATGGGCTGTACTAACTTAGCTCTGATTATTAACATGAGAACCATGAATGCAGTCGTAATCGATTGAATAGAATTTTAATTCGGGGTTGAAGTTTCTTTTAGGTGCACGTTTTTTTTTGGCAGAATCGATGCTACGTGAAGATCGTTTATATAAGTTTATGTGATTTTCTTTCTCCCAATTCGATACAGCTTCTGACAATTTTTCATAGCTTGTGAAAGTGCCACCCAGACGCAAAGTGTCTTCATCTGCCATCTTGAAACTTCACCAAGTGGCAAGTGCGCGCTACAGAAAAAAAAAATATTTGCACATGCTCCCAATAGGACGTTTTCGTACTCACGATGCAAGCGGCGCCCTTCAAATAGATCGGCGTAAGCATAGCCTATGATTAATGCTTACGACTCGGCGTAAGCATAGACACTTCGTAATAAATATGCCTCTCTCCACTACAACTATTTATGAACTAGGCCTAGGCGTAAAAATCACAAGGAACTCACGATAACCGGACCTCCACTGAGACCAATGTGGGGGTGAATATAAGTTACCAATCCCAATTTTCCTTTCGCAATTCACGCGACCTCCGACCACGGGAAGATCTACTATCGAAAATTAAAGAGTGTGTATCGACAAACAGAATTAACATCAAAGGGAGCGTAGTAGGGGCATGACTGACACAATTTTACCCATCCATCGATGTAGAGTTTGCCGCAAATAAATGCAGAGAACCAGCGTGACCACTCACAATTTTTGATATAGCCAATGACTGGGTCGAAATTACCCAAGATTCAGCAAAAATTGCCCAAAATTACCCAAGCTTCCTGAAAATGCATTAAAATTTGAAAAGAACGTGTTTTTCGCATGTATAATTTCCCTTTTAGTTCAATTTATAAACATTTTTTACTGTAATTGTTTGTTAATTATTAAAGTTAATATTCATGAGGTGATAATACGGATAGAAAAATACACCCTCAGTCGGCCAGTGTTATAAGTAGATCTCAGTGATCAAGTTTAATTATGTAATGCATAAAATTAGGTAAGATCAATGGCAACGCAAATCACAAATAAACAATTCTGAACCCATGTTTATAGCAACTAACAGTCAATTAACAATGTTATGTGCACTTCGTTAAGTTTTGCTTACTTGAATCGACTGAAATATACTTCGTTACTTCTTAATTCTTCCTCTATGAAAAAAAAATATTAAATTTTCTTAGTAAAAATAAAATACCCAAGGATTTGAACGGAATACCCAAGAATCCAAGACCAAGTCAAAATACCCAAGATCTTGGGTAAATACCCAAGCAGTGGTCACATTGCAGAGAACTGCTTGAATAGAGTGACGTCAACTTTATTCCAGTAAAGCGCCTAAAATACCCAAAAAAAAAAAAAAAAAAAAAAAAAAAAAAATTATAACGTCATACAGGTAACGGTACAGAATGTGACATTTTTTTGGCAGCATTATGATGTAATCCTCGATTATCGTTACATGCATAAACAGTAGTTGCTCAGACGTGTTTCTAGGATTTTCTAAACGAGGGGAAATCAGCCGTAAGTGAGCGGCACTAACTTGGGACCGCGTCAATAGGAATCAAGAGCAATGAGGCACAAGCGGAAAGGGAAGGCAGGGAGGGCATCGGGCAGACCTGAACCCCTTGTCGTCCGACGCCACGATGAGGTCGTCGGATAAAAAGTATGTAATATGCCCTGTCTCTTATACACATCTAGATGTGTATAAGAGACAGATAATAGAACACCGCATCCTCTATAACCGCCAATGCGAATGTATGTCGACTGCCAACAGGAAATTACTTCAACATGAACAGGCCCATTCAAATACATTCTATGAGTGAACATGCAATTATTGAGCTCTATTCAATACAGATGTGTATAAGAGACAGCTTTCATTCTATAACATTAAGATTTTACACACTTTGTTAATCATGATGGCTTTTATATATCTGCCCTGTCCAGAATTAGTCAGATGTCCAGTGTCCATATCCTCAACGCCATAACACAATTATTTTGCAATGAAGCATGCACAGAAGGGTTAGATGATTGTAAGATTAATGGAAAATTATCACGGAAATCAATAGGCCTAACGATAGAAACAGTTAAAATGTAAAGATCTGAGATTCATTTCTAAACCAGGACCTTAGAGAGAAAACCATATTTTTTTTAACTTTTTTTTGGGGGTGGGGGTAAATACTTCTTTCTCAATCTAGATACACAATTTTCAGTCGGGACATAAGTATTAAGAGCTGAAGTTTCCTTGTTCATTCACGAATAGTGGCGCCTACCGTATGCCCTAGATTGGGACCGTGATAGGAACTATCTTTCAGAAGGATACCAAACCTTCTTGGTAGACTGAGGCATTAATCAACCCTTGAATATTCAACATA